TAAACCCCTGAACCCTAAGCCCTGAATCCCTAAAAACCCCTGAACCCTAAACCCTGAGCCCCTAAACCCCTGAATCCCTAAACCCTGAGCCCCTAAACCCCTGAATCCTACTGTAAACCCTGAGCCCCTAAACCCCTGAACCCTACTGTAAACCCTGAGCCCCTAAACCCCTGAACCCTACTGTAAACCCTGAGCCCCTAAACCCTGAAGCCCTCAGAGTCCCAGGGCCCCTCCGGGCTCTCCGCCGGGCGTGAGGAGGACGAGGGGGTGCTTCGGACTCGGCCAGTGGAGGCCTTCGACCTGGCTCGGGATTTGTAAGGGTTTTTGTAAGGGATCCTATAATAAGGGATCTATACGGGCTCTATAAGGGCTTAGGGTGTTTAGGGTATAACCTACCAGGGCCTTCGCCCCGCAGCTGTAGTAATTGTAGTAGACCTTCTGACTTGACAGTCAAAGTCTACCGTGGCTTAGGGGTTAGCGGGCTTCCTTTAAGGGTTCCGAAGGTGTTCCTTTACGGGATTCCTTTGGGGTTTAGGGGGTTCGGGTTTGGGTGTCTACTTATAAGTGTCTCCACTACAGTTTCTTTTGGGGGGGTTGCGTTAATGGGGTCCAAATTATAGAGTTGGTCAAACCAATAAAGGAACTACAATGGAGAAGGTAACCTACCAGGACCTACCTTTTTTTGTAGGGTCCCCACAAATTCCATACTAGGTTCACTATACATAAGAACCAACAAAAAATCTCAAAACCGAGTATCTTAATGTACGGGCTCCAGCCTCTACATGAAGCTCACTAGAGCCAGTCTGTGAACAGCCGCCTGGTCCGTCTGCTCCACACCCCGACGGTTTAGGGCTCAGGCTTCTGGCTGGGAGCTTTCTGTTCGGGGATTCAGGGCTTACAGGATGCATACAGCTTAGGATTCAGGGTTTAGGACGACATCCGAAACCGATGTCGGCCCGGAGCCCAACAAATAAAGTAAACAAATAAACACATACATACAATTAGTATATATATATATATATTATATTATATTATATTATATTATATTATATTATATTATATTATATTATATTATATTATATTATATTATATTATTATATTATATTATATTATATTATATTATATTATA